ACTTTCGAGTCCAGTCCCTGGACCAAATTTTGTACCTCTGTAATCTTTTGACTTACCGCCACAGGATGGGATGGGGTGCATAATAAACATATTAAAAATAACGGATTAACTGATTTCAACTAATTTAAATGAGAAAAAATTTACTCTGCAAACGAGCAAATCCAGTTGCGAGCAAGGTCACGGAATGGAATTAAACTCGCAAGTAGAGGTTCCACTGTCCCAGGAAGTTATTGGGCATCTCTGGTGAGTGGTTAAACAATGATGGAACCATATCTTGGTAAGGGCATATATTTATATACTGATAACTGGTACACAAGCCCCTCACTCAGTGTTTTTTTGAGAGTGAAATAAACAGATGTGTGTGGCACAGTGCGGGGAAATGAAGCATATGCCCCAGGTTTGACGCGGCACTTGTAGAGGTGAGGTGCAGGTGTTTGCTGCCAATGATATCATGGCATTTGGGTGGCATGACAAATAAAGATGTCACACTGTTGTCATCAGTTCACCTAAAGAAATGACAAACACTGGCAGGCAGAATAGAAAGACCCATGAACCATTCTAAAACCTGCAGCTTGTGATTGATTACACCTTCAATATGCATTCAGTGGACAAATGTGACTGCAGATTGGGTTTGCTGATTCTGTTTGCAAGAGTTATACAGGGTACATAAAGCTCTTTTTTCCATATTCTGGACATTTCCATGCTCAATGCTTATAATATGTATAAGATGGGGACCAAAACAAACTACCATATGGTAAATTTTGTTTGTCTGTCATCAGACAAATAGTATTCAAGTACCAAGGAACAACACCTGCAACAGAAAACCGCCCCCTAAATTAACACTACTTCTCGTCTGAAGCATGGTGATCACTTCCTAAATAAAACTGCCTGCTACTGCTTTCAAGAAAAAAGCTCAGAAGGGTTTACGTCTGTGCGCATTCAAAAAAATGTCCACAACGCGACACACTCGTTTTTTGTGGGGGAGTGTAAAACACCACTGTGCATGACACCATGTTTCAAAGAGTTCCACAGGCTTCAAACTTCTAGAAACCCTTCCCTGTGACTGTATATGTGTATATAAAATATAGAAAAATAGTAATAAAACAACATTTCATATTGTTCATTGTGTAAACAAGTTTTGTAAACAATAGTGACAACGGGGGTTTGTGTAGTTATTTTTGGGAGTATAGAAAGAGAAAAAGCTTACAAAAAGTGCTCAATATTGGTCCACCAGCCATAAAAGTTACAAAGAAAAAAAAATTAAAAAATAATAAAAAAAAGTAGAAAAATGTAAATAAAAAATTATCGGGTACCGGCAGTCAGCGAAGAAAGCGATATGCGGTTCATTTTCTTCAACTTCATGCCTCCATATCTTGGTAAGTATTTATGGCAAAAAAAAAATTTTTGTAGCCTATAATGTTTAGAAGAAAAAACTATCTTTCATAAGAATTTTTTTTTTTGTTGTTTTTTTTTTATTTAAATTTTTCGACCCCGAGAACAAGTCTTTGAGAGGGCCTGTCGACCCTGAAAGGGTTAAGATCTACATTATTTAGTTTTTATGTGCCATGGTTATTTTCCTGTCCAACATTTAGAACTTTGCTTTTGTCTATATTAAACTGCATCTGCCATTTCTCTGACCACTGCATTAGTCTATTCAAATCATCCTGTCATTTATGTAAATTGCAACAACAACAGGCCCAACACTGACCCCTGTGGAACACCGCTTCTGACGTGCCCCCATTCTGATTTCTCCCCATTTATGCAAACTCTCTGCTGCCTATCTCTCAACTATGCCTCTTCCCATCCTATTCCATGTGCCTTAAGTTTCCTCAATAGCCTCTGATGTAGAACTCTATCAAAAGCCTTACTGAAGTCCATATACACAATATCATATTCAATACCATGATCTACCTCCTCAAATACCTTAGTGAAGAAAGTAAATTTGTAAGACAGGAGCGCCCCTTTGTAAAACCGTGTTAAGATTCATTAATCAATTTATGTCTTTTGATTGCTTTGGCAATTATTGATTCTATACATTTTCCAACTATGGAGGTAAGGCTTATTAGTCTATAGTTTGAAGCTAAGGACCTGTCACCTGCCATGTAAATAGGTATTACATTAGCCATTTTCCACTTGCCTGGCACTATGCCAGTTTGTATTGATATACTGAAAAGATTAGCCAAAGGTATGCTAAGTTCCTCTTTACATTCCTTTAAAACCCTCGCAAATAGTTCATCAGGGCCTGGGGATTTGTTAGGTTTTAATTTCTCTATTTGTCTGAGGACCATGTCACTAGTTACCCCAATAGTGCATAGTTTATTAACATCCTGTTCTACATAATTCATTATTTCTGGAATTTTGCTAGCATCTTCCTGAGTAAAAACTGAGAGGAAGTAGGTCTTGAAAAGTTCACACATTTTCTTATCACTGTCAGTGATCTGACCAGAGTTACTCTTAAGTGGGCCAATCTTGTCCCTAATATTACTTCTGTATACCTGAAAGAACCCTTTAGGGTTAGATTCAAATCCCTTGGACTTTAGCTTCATAATCCCTTTTTGCTTTTCTTATTCCTTTTCTTATATCTCTCTTTAATTGAATATATTGATTTCTTAACTGCCCATCCCCTCTTTTGATATGCCTATATATGCCTCTCTTTTGACCAATGAGAAGTTTTAATCTATTGTTTATCCATTTGGAATAATTTTTGTTAGATCTAATTTCCCTACTCAGAACAAAAGTTGTCTGGGCAGCTAGCACTATGCTCTGAAACATGTCATACTGGCAACCAACACCACCTACCTGACCCATAGTCAGGTCATCCCAATTTAGCTCACCCAGGTAATTTCTCAGTCCCATGAAGTCAGCCAAGAGGAAGTCTGGGACAGAGACTTGATTGCAGTTATCTGGGTAATTCCATGATATATTGAAACTAAGTGATTTGTGATTGCTTTCCCAAGCTCATCATTAACCTCAAGATTATTAACTAGTGATTCTTTGTTAGCAAGAACCAAGTCAAGCAGACTGTTTCCTCTAGTTGGTTCTGTCACAAACTGTTTTAAAAAGCAATCCTGAACAGTATCAAGAAAGTCACTAAACTCAAGATTTCCTGTCATACTGTTCTAATCAGTTTATCTAAAGTTAAAATCTCCCAATAACAGAACTTTCTGATATTCAGACGCCTTATGAATTTCGTCCCATAGCAGCCTACCGCACTCCCTATCAAAGTTAGGGGGCCTATAAATCACACCCAAAATTAATTTTTCACGACCTTCAAGAAACTGTAGCCAAACAGATTCTGTGGCCGATGTTTCTAATCTTATATCTTGTCTAACACAACATTTTAAATTATCTCTGACATACATCACCACTCGTCCACCCTTCCTGTTGACCCTATCACTAAGGAATAGTTTATAACCCTGTATGCTGCATTCAGAAGGCATTTCTCTATCTTTCAAGTTGAACCAGGTCTCTGTTATAGCAATAATATCTTTATTACCTGCACTTGCAAGTAATCTCAGCTCATCTATCTTATTTCTTAGACTCCTTACTATTTGTATAGTAAACCTTAAGGGAGCTAGTCACTTGTTGCCCTCTACTATCTCTGTTGAGCAATTGCTATGCCTTTATTAGCAACTTTATTTTGAATATTGGTAATATGCTGTTTTCAACCTTTTTACTGCAGCCTGACTGTTTCCTGCAAACACCCATACCTCTATTATCCATCAGTTAATAATCCTAGACAAGTCATCAAAGACCCCATCAATCGAATTGGCTAATGCAACCACTCCAACCCCAGAGATGAACCCCATCTCTTGCATACATATCATGTTTGCCATAGAATTTGTCCCAGTTATCAATGAATAGGATTACAAGTACCTTGCAGTACCTGTCTAGCCAGCAATTTATACTAAATTGCCCTAGACATCTATTCATTGCCCACTCCCCTTCTAGGCAAGATGCTACATATGATTGGGATCCCTCCCATAAACCTGACTACTTCTATGGCTGACCTGTATTTATCCAGCAGCTCCTGTCTCCTGCCCTTCCCAATGTCAATACCCCCGGCACTAAGACAAATAATGGGCTTGTTCCCATTACCTGACATAACATTATCCAACCTAATGACTATGTCACCAACACCATCTCCTGGGAGGCACACCCTCTGTCTGACCTTCCTATCTCTGTTACTAAAAGCATGGTCCATATATCTTACCTGAGGGTCTCGCACAATTAGAATATTCTTACCTTGATTAGCAGTGGAGTCACCAACACCAGCTCCTGGGAGGCACACCCTCTGTCTGACCTTCCTATCTCTGTTACTAAAAGCATGGTCCATATATCTTACCTGAGAGTCTCCCACAATTAGAATATTCTTACCTTGATTAGCAGGGGAGTCAATGGTACCTTTAACCTCACTAACCACTGAAGTACACTCATCCTGGAGAACAGAGAATCGATTTCCTACCTTCACATCTTCTCTATTAACATTCTTTATCTTCCTTCTTCCTGAATTGTGAACCACTTGCCATTTACAGTGGCTGCAACTCCTTAACTCACTGCTGGTATCCTTTTCCTCCTTACCAGCCCCAACCATCTCACACTCACTCCCAAACCCATCAAGGCTAAGCTTCAGCCTTCTATTTTCCTCCTGATGAAGTAGAACCTCCTTCTTCAACACTTTAACCTGAGATTCCAAGATGCTACAGAAAGGCATGGTCTCAGTAACACCCCATGCTAATTCACAGACAGCTTAGGACAGAGACCTCATGTAACTGCTGACTTCTGACATCATGCTCAGGAAAGTTGCTGATCTCTTTAGATTGAGCATTGTGCTAATTAGGAGAAACCACTTGCTGGAAAGTCTTTTTCGGTTTACTAAAGCTGCTAGACTGTATAACGTGTTACCAGTCTCTCTCAAGAGTCAAGAATCTGGTCATGCCTTTAAGTATGACTTGAAAGCACATATATTGCTTTACATTTCTGATAATCATACTCACTCCTCAATATAAACTTAAGTATTTTTATTGTTGTTTTATTTACTGTTTGGTGTGCGAGTGCTTGTGAATTTCTTAAAAGACAAAACACTTGAATTATGAAATCCCAAATTACATTTTTTTAAATTATATTCAAACTACACACTGACAAAATTTCTCTCCCATGCAATTAAGTCAATCACATATTTGTGAGACCTTTAAAATTTAAAACTAATATGACTTTTAACTGGCAAGAATTCTCAAGTGTTTCGCTAACTTAAATTTATCCGAAAGCTTTTCAGACATTCAGAATAGTCATACGGTTTCTCTTCACTATGATTTTTCATGTGCCTTATCAAACTAGATTTTCGGGGAAAGTGCTTTAGACACTTAGAACACTGATACGGTTTTTCTCCAGCATGAATTCTCATGTGCTGCACTAAACTAGGTTTTTGTGAAAAGGCTTTTAGACACTGTGAACACTGATGTGATTTTTCTCCAGCATGAATTCTCATGTGTAGTACTAAATGAGATTTTTCAGAAAATTCTTTTAGACATTCTGAACATTGATACAGTTTTTCTCCAGTATGATTCTTCATATGTTGTACTAAATTAGATTTTGTGGAAAAGTCTTTTAGACACACTGAGCACTGATAAGGTTTCTCTCCAGTATGAATTCTCATGTGACTTACTAAACTAGGTCGCTGAGAAAAAGATTTAAGGCACACTGAACAGTGATATGGTTTTTCTCCAGTATGAATTCTCATGTGATCTATTAAGCGAGCTCTTTGAGAAAAGTTTTTTGAACACACTGAACACTGATAGGGTGTCTCTCCTGTATGAGTTCTCATGTGATTGACTAAACTAGATTTAGCAGAATACTCTTTAAGACACTCTGAACACTGATATGGTTTCTCACCAGCATGAGTTCTCATGTGTTTTACTAAGCTGTGTTTATCAGAAAATACTTTTAGACATTCTGAACACTGATAAGGTTTTTCTCCAGTATGAATTCTCATGTGCCTCACTAAATTAGATTTTTGGACAAAATGTTGTAGACACTCAGAACACTGATGTGATTTCTCTCCAGAGTGACTTCTCATGTGTTTTTCTAAATTTGGTTTTTGGGCAAAGACTTTCAGACACTGTGAACATTGAAATGGTTTCTCTCCAGTATGAATTCTCACATGTCTCGTTAAATGAGATTTCTGAGAAAAGTCTTTTAGACAGACTGGACACTGAAGAGCTTTTCTAACTTTTTTAATTCTCATCAGAGATACACACTGAGATTTTTGTGAGGAGGATTGTTGTAGTGACTGTGAATATTGGAATAGTTTGTCTTCTGGATGAACTGTAATTGGTGTCGCTTCAACACATTCATTTTCAAGTATTTTAGACATAATAAACATTAACTTAATAATCTTCCATATCAAATATAAAGTGATTAGCCACAGATTTGTTTGAAAATTTCATTACATTAAAAAACTAATATTTCTCATACACTAAAAACCAATATTTCTCAAATTCTATATTACAATTATGAGAATCTTTTTATAATTGTAGTATATGAGCCCATACGGCTGGTATAGTGTCTCAGGAACACGATGGGTGATTCAAGTATTTATATAACTCTTACAGGAGCTTCACAACACTGCTGTTGAAACTGTAAATGAATTATTTCTAACAATTCAGTTACACAGTGCTCTCACTCTATAGATTTCTAATACTGTGGATACATAGTTCTGCCACTGTACATATTTCAGTATTTATGACACACAAGACTTATGAAGTGAGAATTTGCACTACAATGCCAGCTTTTGATTTATGAACGACCTGCAGTATTGGCACAAGTGCCAGCCTCTTGTACCAGGATGACCTGCAGTATTGGCACAAGTGCCAGCCTCTTATACCAGGATGACTTGCAGTATTGGCACTACCAGTGCCAGCCTCTTGTAACAGGATGACCTGCAGTATGACACAAGTGCCAGCCTCTTATACCAGGATGACTTGCAGTATTGGCACTACCAGTGCCAGCCTCTTGTAACAGGATGACCTGCAGTATTGACACAAGTGCCAGCCTCTTATACCAGGATGACTTGCAGTATTGGCACTACCAGTGCCAGCCTCTTGTAACAGGATGACCTGCAGTATTGACACAAGTGCCAGCCTCTTATACCAGGATGACTTGCAGTATTGGCACTACCAGTGTCAGCCTCTTGTAACAGGATGACCTGCAGTATTGCCTCTGGTGCCAGGATGACCTACAAAAAGACACAGTTGAGCCATTATAATCCTTTGTTAAATTTTACTTCATGGATATTACATTTTTAATAATACATATCATATTATTGCTGTTGTAAGAGTGGATAGGAGGGAATACCAGAAGGTTTTAGTTCATAAACACACAAGCAGCAATTAGAAACTTTAGGAATACAGTGGAACCTTGACTTACGAGTGTCCCAACATATGAGTTTTTTGAGATATGAGCCATCCCTGGGTCAATTTTTTTGCTGTGAGTTACGAGCCAGCTCCTCCCCCTCCCCGGCTTCTCCCTCAACCCAAAACCTGGACACCTCCCTTGTTTGTCTATGATTTCATACTTTAATTCTATGGAAATCATTCTCCTTTTTCTTCTCAGCACTGTTCTTTACACTTACTTTTTTAGGACCCATGCTTAGAAAAACAAAATTTGGCCAAATGATTGTCAAAAATGTAAGCAAAGCATGAGAGAACTGCTCCCATACCGAGGTAAACAGTGCACTGAGTTGGCGGCGTTCGTTATTATTATAACAATAATAATAACAATAATAACTATTATTATTATTACAGTGGACCCCGCCTTATGATGGCATCGCGTTACGTTAAACCCGCCATACGATACATTTGAATGCAAAAATTTTGCCTCGCCTCATGCGATTCATCCGGGACGCGTCCCACTCGTGGCCTCAGCTACCCCGTGCGGTCGCATGGTTTACAAGCCAGCCAGTGCGGTTGCATCCACGCATACATTCGGTACATTTCATATTATCACAGTGTTTTTAGTGATTGTAGTTGCAAAATAAGTCACCATGGGCCCCAAGAAAGCTTTTAGTGCCAACCCTGTGGTAAAAAGGGTAAAAATTACTATGGAAATGAAGAAAGAGATAATTACTGAGTACGAAAGTGGAGTGTGTGTCTCGGAGCTGGCCAGGTTGTATACCAAACCCCAATCAAGGAAGCTGTTCTTGCAAAAGGTGCAAGTTTGTTTTCAAAACAGAGATCGCAAGCACTCGAAGATGTTGTGAGACTGTTATTGGTGTGGATAAACAAAAAACAGATAGCAGGAGATACCATCTCACAAGCGATCATATGTGAAAAGGCTAGAAAGTTGCATGATGATTTAATTACAAAAATGCCTGCAACTAGTGGTGATGTGAGTGAATTTAAGGCCAGCAAAGGTTGGTTTGAGAGAATTAACCCTTTCAGGGTCCAAGGCCCAAATCTGGAGTCACGCACCAGTGTCCAAGAATTTTCCAAAAAAAAATTTGTTATTTTTTCTTATGAAATCGTAGAGAATCTTTTTGTGAAGGTAATAAAACAAAAAGTACAAAATTTGATGGAAAATTGACGAAATTATGCTCTCGCGAATTTTGATGTGTCAGCGACATTTACGAATCGGCGATTTTGCCGACTTTGACTCCCATTTTAGGCCAATTACATTATTCCAATCAACCAAATTCTTAGCTATTTCACTAGTATTACTTCTATTCTATCGATTGAGCACAAGAAATCGCCAAGTCAACTGTTTCAACTACAAAATAAAGTGATCGGAAATTGTTAATTTGGCCAATTTAACACAAAGTTCAAAATATTCCAATTTCAAAATAGGGTCCAGAATAAACAATGTAGGCATTCCTGGCACTAAACTATGTTTCCTCTGTTCATTAGTTATGTTTTGGGCTTTACAAATAAATTCCATTTTGATTTTTTATTCACATAATGAATTTTTATTCACACCAAAAAATAGAAGATTTACTGTTATGCAATACGTAATAATTGTATAAATATCATCACCATATTTGTGAATGTATATTAGACCCACCAGCTGACGTGTATTAGACGTGTGAGGTCGTTTGTTTACTCTTGAATATCGGCAAAAATTTAACATTTCCGCTACTTTGAGCTCAGTTTCAGCCATTTCAGTGCTAAAAACCAATCAAAATCATCTCTATTTTCTGTAATATGTCTTCCATTCTATCAAATGAGACCAAGAAATCGCAAATACAGCTATAAAAAACATACGAAAAAACACTGCAAAGTTGCTGTTTTAATCGAAAAATCATGATTTAAGTTTTTTTCTCTCATTATACACAGTGTGCTGCAGGATCTGTTTTATGTGGTGCACACATACCACATAGATGTATTCTCTCATATCTAGGCCCAAATGTACCACTCACAGTTTATCAGAGTGAGCTGAGCTCATGGCGTAGATCTACGGTTTGGACCCTGAACGTAAAGCCGTAGATCTACGGGACGGACCCTGAAAGGGTTAAGAATCGTAGTGGCATAGTGTGATAAGGCATGGTGAGGCTGCCAGTTCGGACCAAAAAACAGCTGAAAAATATGTGAAGGAATTCAAGGAGTACATAGACAGTGAAGGACTGAAGCCTGAACAAGTGTTTAATTGCGACGAAACAGGCCTGTTTTGGAAGAAAATGCCAAACAGGACCTACATTACTCAGGAGGAAAAGACACTCCCAGGACATAAGCCTATGAAAGACAGGCTAACTCTCATATTTTGTTGTAATGCTAGTGGGGATTGCAAAGTGAAGCCTTTATTGGTGTATCACTCTGAAACTCCTAGAGCGTTTAGGCAAAACAATGTCCTCAAGGCTAATTTTTTGTGTGCTGTGGAGGGCAAACAGTAAGGCACGGGTCACTAGGGACTTTTTCTATGACTGGTAACACAATGCATTTTCCCCCACTGTGAAAAATTACCTACTGGAAAATAAATTGGCCCTTAAGTGCCTTCTGGTATTAGACAAAGCTCCTGGTCATCTTTAGACTTGGGAGAGCAACTTTTTGGGAAGACTTCTAAGGTCAAATTTTTTTCCCCCCTAATACCATCCTCTCCTGAGCCCCTGGGGCCAGCGGGCTTTCAAAATTCAAAAAAAATCTACACAAACCTTGTTTTAAAAGTGCTTTGAAGTGACCTCGACACTCGTTTACTCTAAGAGAGTTTTGGAAAGATCCTTTTGATCCCAGTTTTGAAACCTTTAGGGAAAAGCTTGGGAGGGGTGTGAGGACCTTGAAATCTGCTTGGGAAGAAACGTGGCCGAATGTGTAGACAAAAGAATTTTTTGGGGGTAAACCCCCAGAACCTATGCCCCTTTTGGAATCAATTGGGGCATTTGGGGGAAATCTTGGGGTTGGAGGTTACTGAGGAGGTGTGGAGGTTGGTGGGGGAGAAAAATGAAGAACTACCACTGATAGCTGCAAGATCATCTTAAAAACAAGAGGAAAGACCCGAGGGAAAAGCTTTGGAAAAGGGGAGAGAAAAGAAGAAGTTGCTACTTCAAAATTTAAGGAAAAAATGTCAATTTGGGTTAAAATGCAAACCTTTTGGATGAAAATCACCCCCCACAGCTATTGCAGCTGTGCTGGGGCTATTTTCAAGGGAGAAAGTCCTTACAACCCCATCTATAAATTATTAAACAACCCTGAATCAACATCCTTGCTAGCCCTTTTATGGGAAAAATTTCCTCTTTCCTACATACTCTAACTTGAGCCCACTATCTCGTAAAATCTTCACGTTCGAACCTACCTCCTACACCATACATGCACATCTGCCACATTGCCCCCTATCCACCCTGTCATAGCTTTCCAATCAAAATGCCCAAAGACTCTTACCTTACAAATACGTCATTTTATGTTTCACTGTAAACCCTGGTCCACAACCCCTACCTTCCTAAAGCTCCTTGTCATCTGCTATCCTATTTCCGTCTTACTCTTAATTCTTCAATTTAACCTACCCCCAAAAATTTACAGTACATCAACAGCTTATCCCCCTATATTTTTGCACTCTCTTTTATCCCTTGCCTTTATACAAGGAACTTGCATGCTCTGCCATCCTAGGTACCTTACTTTTCCATAATTATTAAAATTGCACCAACCCTCCAAAACTATATCCCACCTGCTTTAAAATTCTATCTTTATCCATCAATCCCGGCTGCCTTACCCCTTCTTTTACCTACTGCCTCAGAAATTCCCCACACTCCAACTGCTCTCCTCACTCCTACAAGATGTATTCCCCTGCCCTATACACAATCACAGCTTCCCCTTCTCAACTTTAAAATTCTCAAATATCTTTCCATTTCCCAATACTTAGCTCTCATTTAATAACTTCCTCTGCCTATTTTAACTGAAAAATCCATTTGTTCTCTAGGCTTTCTTAACTGATTTTAAACTCACTCCAAAACTTTTTCTTATTTCAACAATAATTTGTGATAACATCTCACCCACTCTTCATTTGCTCTCTTTTTACATTGCTCCACCATCTCTCTTAACTTCTCTCTTTTTTCTCCAATATTAACTTTCCCTCTTGCATCACTTTACTTTGTAAAAACTTCTCATATGCTACTTTTTCTCCTAATACTCTCTTTACATCATCATCCACCAATCGCTCATCTTCCCCTGACCCACTTCCTGAAACCACAAAAACTTCTGCTGAACACTCTTAACACTATCATATTTAAAACCTCCCCATTACCTCTTCGACCCCATTGCCTATGCTCTACATTAGCCGATTCTATCCTACCAAATAGCTGTTTATATCTTACTGCTAATGCCTACTCGTTTAGTTTATAACCTTCAACTCTCTCTTCCCTGATGCTTCTATCTACATATGTATCCCATCTACCTTTACTCTCAAAATGTAGCTAACAACTAGAAAGTGATCTGATTATATCTGTGGCCCCTCTAAACAAGTGTACATCTGAAGTCTACTCAAACAGTCCTTTTATTACAATAATACCAACAAACTACATTTCGACACCCAAAATCATAAAAACGGCTATTATATTTTATTTAAAGCTAGTTTGCAAAAATAATGTTATTTGTATAACTGAAACTCCTAGAGCTTTTACAAAATTCCTCAAGGGCTCATTTTTTTTTACAACTGGCACCGGGCATAGGGACCTTACTAAACCAACATTTCCCTCTCTAAAAATTACCTACTTTAGCATTCAAATTCCCAATTACTCCCTTTTGGTTTCAAAG